CCTGATCAAGAAAATTAAAAATTGATAAAAAATTGATATATAAAGTAAAAGATTAAGTGTAATTTTAGTTGACCATGTGAATAGTAAGCATGAAGATAATTCTGGGATGGGGAGTAGCATTTACGGAATCAACCAATGTTCAATTTAGAACCAATCCATATCCACCCTTAGGTTCACGTGTAATGCAGCTCCTCTCTTATTACTTTTGTTTGTCCTAATCATGTTGAGGTAGCCAACTTAGAAGCCACCTTAGATTCACGTGTAATGCAGCTCATCTCTTATTACTTTTGTTTGTCCTAATCATGTTGAGGTAGCCAACTTAGAAGCCATCTTTTGATCACTCAAGGTTCATAACACAGAACATTACCTGTTGAGAACATCTAAAAAATAATCACTCACAATGACACAATCTAAGCTAACAAAAGAGACAGCACAATGATAAAGCATGTTGAAAACAAAGTATGGTACTAAAGTGCCCTTTACATTAAGCAATTACTCTAGCTCTTTGAAAAGCTTGAGCTAATTCAAAAATGTTATCTTTTGATGATATTTTTAAAAACAAGTTAAACAAGAAAAAGAATAAATTTCATTAACTTCAGGAACAAAGTGAATAACTACAGTGTAGTCTTCACTACATTAGATTCGAGAAAGACAAACAGCTCAAAATTGCAGTTGCTTCAATAAACCATTACTCCGTACTTCTTTCAAACTAAAACCAATGTAATTTCTACTGTTCAGGTTTAAAGACAACTTTCTCTACTTAAATGAGTAAGAAGCAAAGTTTGAGGTGCATTCTCCATTCACCTTAAAGTTCAGATCTAATTATCTTCTCCATTCACATGCATGAGAACTATTTCTTTGAAAGCATTTCAAAAAGATCGGGACAAGAAGAAAAGTCAAGATGGAGCAACTTAAATGAGTAACACTTACCATTTGAGATGAAGCGATGGGAATTAAAATTTAATACGAAAATTGGTGTGTAATTAGTAAAAAGAGGGTTGTAAATTAGGGCTGAACAAAATGGTTTGGTTTAACCGAACCGAACCTAACTGAAAATTGGTGGTTTGATTTGGTTTGGGTTCATTTAAGTAAACCGTTTGGTAAGGATTTGCTCAAACCGAATGGTTTGGTTTGATTTGATTTAAAACCGAAAAACCGTAAACTGAACCGAACACCAAACTCCTTGTAACACACACACACCTATATATATATATATTGTATTTATCTTCACTCTTCATCTTTAGTATATAAATATACGGAGTATAATTTAGACATGAAAAATATATGTTTAGCATATATCATTTTAACTTCTCTTACACCCCTTTAAGAATCAGTTTTAAGAATCAGATCCAAACACCCCTTTAATGTCATCAGTGTTGGTAAGATAAATTAGGTGTTAATTTATAATATTTTATTATTTCTTTTTCTACCTTTTATTTAAATAATGAATACAAGAAGATGAGATGAACTAATATTTTCATTTTCTAATTCTAAAATATAGAACTTGATCAAATAAAATACGTAGTAATAACCATATGAAACCGAATCAAATCGAACTAATTGAACCTAATAATTTTCACTTTGGTGAACCGAAATTCAAATCGAACCGAACCCGAACCGAAACCAAACGGAAACTCAAATTGTTTTAGTTTCGTACAAATCATCTCAAACCGAATAAACCAAAATCGAACCAAAACCGATAAAAACCGAAATCCCTATAGAACTACCCATATATAACGGGGCAAGTCTATGACAATATTAAACGAATGTGGGCCATAATTTACTAGCGTAGTCCAAAGCCGATTAGATGTGGGCTGTTGTGGTCCACCCAGGACGTCCATGATCACCAACGAATTTACTTGCGTCATTTACACGGCCCCATGGTCAACGGCAGGTCGTATCGGACGGCGGAAGAGGCCCCCCTACTCAACGCCGATCATCTCTTCTAGTTGTTCAAAATAAAGTGCTGGAAGAACTGCGCTAGCGGAGGAGCACGATTACTGATTGTCGGGCTTTAAGGTTAACTCAGGCCGCGCCAATAGCTTCTTAGCACCGCCGCCGTCCGCGGCGTCGCGATATTTCGGATGTTACCCCGAAGGAGTTCCTTCGTACCTAACACCAACTAACAATATTCTCTCCAGTTTCTCTTTGCGCGTACTTGGTTCCAACAACGGCGTAAAAAATCAGGTATCTTTCAACTATAAAGTTATACTACCTCCGTCCCAATTTAGTTAGCCCCGGACTTTTTCAGTTAAAAGTGGTACACTTAACCAATAATTTTAACTAATATATTTATGAAAAAGTTAATAATTTTATATAATTTTATAATAGTATTTTCAACGAAAAACATTTTCATATAATTTTTATATTATTAATATTTTTTCTATATAGATATATAATCGGTCAAAATTATGTACCAATGACTTGAAAAAACAAGATTGGCTAAGTAAATTGGGACAGGGGAGTTTGTGTTTTTTTCTCAATCTCAAATCTATACGTACGATTATACGAATCATTGATTCTATCCTATGCATCAGGTGCATTTTATCATTATAAGAAGCAATTAAATATCTCTACCAATTGCAAAACAAAAACTTAATGTTCAATTTGACTTTGCACCCCACTTTAGGTGATATTGGAATTTACACCCCATTTTAAAAAACCTTTGACTTTACACATTATCATATAACATTTGTGAAGGAAAATTTCTTAATGTGGTGCAAACTGCAAAGTCAAAGGATTTTGAATTGAAATGAGGTGCGAAATCAAAGTTTTTTTAAAAATGGACTGCAAAGCCCAATATCAACCAAAAGTGGGGTGCAGAGTCAAATTCCCCCTTTATTTATAAGAATTGATAAGTGCATTAGTATAACCTCAGGGGTTGCATATGCAAATGTGTTATCAATTTGATGAAAATTTTAGGGCATGATTACTAACAGAGATATTTTCTCATTTTCTACTTTTGTTTTTCGATTTCCGATTTTCTGTTTTTATTTTTCAGTTTTTCTATCTCCAATTTTCTGTTTCTATTTTTTTGTTATCCATTTTCAAATCTGAAAACATGTTCATCAATTTTTTCCCCCAGTTCTGTGATCGTCCAGAAGGAAGACACGTTTACTTCACGGGTTACTAAATGATGCTTATTAAGATCCGCATTAATAAGCGGCGCATAAAATAAGCAATGTTGTAAGATCATGTTTATTTCAAACTTTCAGATGAATCTAATAAATATACCACTTAGTAAAATGCTTCCTTTAATATAATACTATCGTCTATCATATAAAATAAGCATAATAGATAGTATTCAATGTTTTCTATGTTCTTATGAAAACGGATGAGTTTGATGATGCTAAGTGTATGAACTCATATTGGCATGGTCTAGCTTGATAAACAATGATCTCAGTGACACCACCAGGTCCGTTTGCTGAGCTAGTCTTTGGATTGAGCATGTGGGGTCAACTCATTCAGGATCCACTGATCGGCTGGCTCGGATCGGCCACACTGATAGAGAACCAGATCCTTGCCATTCTAGTTTCTACAGATGCTTATGTACACTCAGTTTCTTGTTCCCTTGCATTTTTCTATGATATTCATGTCGGTAGGGGTGGATACGGTTCCAGTTTTATACCTGAACTAGACCGGTATTGGTCATTTATTTGCACCAAAACCTAACCAATGAGCAGTTCCAGAACAGGAACCCGATTTTATGCCAGTCTATTTTCAGTTTCTCCAAAATAGGATGAACTGCTCTAATCTAGATTTTCCCCCCACTCCTCCCGTTCCTTACTCCAAAATGCAATTAGGAACTGCCCGGGACCAAAACCTAGACAAGTAATGTAGAACACTGCTGTGATTCTGGTTACTGTCTTTGAGGGACCAGGAATAGTCCTGTCCCAATTCCAATCCAGAACAGGTACCTGAATGGCTGAACCGTACCTAGTTTCAAGCCTTATTAGATATAACAAACAGACTGAATTTAACTGCAGTTAGAACATTAATCATAAGATATCTAATTCATGAAAAGTAAAAAAGGTAGAAGGCCAAGTAAACATGCTTCATCTTTTGGGTGCAATAGTTTTGAACATGCATCCTGCCTCCTATTAAGTTATTAGTTTGTATGGAATCATAAAGGGCTAAGATCCAAGGATTGGACACAATAGCTATAGTTGTGTCTTTAATAGTTACAATGCTTAAGTCAGGCGGTTTTAACGCGAATCAGATTATCTTTATAAAAGGACCAATGGACATGCAGGTTTGATGGAAGTAAGATTGTTTCTTCTGTTTCGAACTTAGGTGTCATGTGTCTTGGTGATGATCAAATTGCTGCTAATCTTGTTAAGTTCCGTCCCCTTTTTATTTGTAAGGGTCAGTTTTGTATGAGGAGTTTCGAGGGAAAGATGTTGTGTTGATTGAATTTTTTTATGAAATATGATAATCTGTTATGCTATCATTCATTTTGATTAAACCTTAACCATACTACGTACTTCGTATATCATAATTTTTTTAGGGGTTTTTGAGAGAGTATAAAAACTGAAAGGTTTAACATAATTTATAATACTCCTATGTGATGGTATAACAATTCAATAATCTATTATTCGTCTACAACTCTACATTGACATTCAATTTATCAAGACAAGATATACGTTACGACATCCAATTACTTCCCCTCTTTACCAAATACCCTCCAAAACCCTCCATCCTAATATACCATTATTGTGTGTTTGGAGTTGAGACATTGCTACAGAAAGAACATAAGAGAAAACTATACGGCAATATTTTGAAGGTAGGAAATTGTGAGGAAAATGTTCACAATCAATAAAAATAAATTTTGATAGTTGCTAAGTTCATTTTATTTACTGATTTCCATTATTCGTGATAGTGTACAATGTATTGTGGGCTTATGTATACTGTCTTATGGGCCTGTTTTGTATCTTTAATCCTAGCCCATCTCTCTCCTTCAAATACTACGTAGTACGTAGTATAATATATTGAATTACATACTGAGTTTTCATATCGTTAACATGGTATCAGACAGTTGCCTTTAATTGCACCCCTGACCGATCAATTTCTTCTCTCCCAAGTCCACCATCATGGTTGAAACCGATCACTCTCTTCCCTATGCCACCCTTATTCACATGATCACTTTTAAGCTTTCTTCTGCAAATTATCTTCTATGGTGGCATCAAGTTGAAACCCTTCTTCAATTTGAGGATCTTTTTGGGTACCTTGACAGTTCCATACCAACCCCGCCCCATGACTCTTCTGACGCCTCCTCTGCTCAAGATGTGAATGATTGGATTGCGCAAGATCGCTGTCTTCACACTCTCCACCTGACCACCTCTCCTCTCTTTCTGAAGAAGCTATGTCTGAAACCTTGGTTGCAAAATTGCTGCGGATGTTTGTACTGCCCTTGAAAAGGCATATGCTCTTCAGCCTAAAGTCCGTGAAACTCAATTAATGCATGAACTTTAGACACTCTGTCGTGATTCACTTTCAGTTGACGAATACCTAACTATGGCAACATGTCCTCTGAATTAATTTGGATTCTTCACGTTCTTCGTGAATTGAGTGTTCCACTCACCACATCCCATATGTTGCATATATGATAATAAAAGTTCTTTTTCCGTCTCAGAATCCTGTCGCTCACAAACGCGCCAAACATATTGATATAGATTATCATTTTGTTGGGGAGTTAGTTTCTGCCGGCAAGCTACTTGTTAAACATATTCCTTCAAATTTTCAGCTTGCACAGATATATTTAATAAGGGCCTTACTCATTCTTGTTCAAGTTATTTTCGTTCCAAGCTTCAAGGGCCTGTTCGTATCAACAATTCTAGCCCATCTCTTTTGCTTAAAAACTGTAATATATGTAATTACATAGTGGGTTTTCATATCAATAATTCAAAGTTAATCTAGGGTCTAACAGCATCTCCAATGCTCTTGCTTTTAACACTAAAAATTCCAGCCACGTAACCACATGCGTAACTGTTTCTATTTGTTTTGCTCCAAATTCCAATGCTCTCTTTATTAAGTTATGTGATGCTGAGTTGTTCAAATTAAATGTTAACACTTTCAAATGCACTTTCATATTCTCAAAAGCCAGTTACATAGCAAAAAAATGCTCCGTATAAATCTGATTTTTGTTTTGAAGTGGGAAATCAAGCGATGCAGGTTTTTATCTTGTTTAACATTTATTAAATTTGAATTAAATGCATTTCACTTGTGCAAAACTGCCATGCCTCAATGTGATGCGTTGGGAAGCCTTTTGATGCTTTAGGAGTTTAGATTTTGACATTCATCCCACAAGGATAAACATTCCATACATTTATTGCCATTTGTCACAATTTTTCTAATGTTAAACGCTTAGCATTAGAGATGCTCTAAACATGAGTGAACTTTTTTAAACATTAAGCAAATATCGTTTAACTTTTCATTTTCTAGTGTTAAACCAATAAGATAAATCCCCCCGTGTTTTTTTCCCCTTAGCACTTTCCGGGGTCCAAGCACACCTTAAATGGCCACATTATTTAATTCTTTGTTTCATTGTTACATATCTGTGTTGCGGTTGGGATCAATGTTGTGTTAAATGCAGACATATATATTTGTGGGAAACATTTGGATCACGTTGGGCTATGGGTATGGGCTCAGCCAATGTTGGGCTATGGGCATGGGCTCAGCCAGACAGCCAGTTATGTACCCATCGGGCTTAAGGATAAGCCTTACATGATTACAGTATTCTCAAAATTAATAAAAAATAGAAGTATTCTCAATTTTTGCAGAACAATGATTTCAGTTTCATAGATAAATATACATGCATAGTTTACATTACTTTTTTCTACATCATGGGTAATACAACGGAGTACTTTATTATACGATCGATTTTCATCATAAAAAAGAAACGTGATGTAATGAATTTCAAATCAAAAAGTAGAATCTTAAAGAATTGGAACCATTGTCAAAGTAGTATAGGATAAAATTTTAAACAAGTAGACACATAATTTACGGTTTTTATGTTTAAGGATGTTTTTATTTGGATCATTTTCATTTTTCAAGTTTCAGACTTAACCAAACCAGACTTCGTTATGAATTATATAAAGACATGACACTTATCAAACCAGACTTAATAAACGTCCTAATTTGTTTATTTTATAATCATTGGTGATACTCGACCTAAAAAATCATGGGAGATGTTTATTTAGGTTTGTTGCATATTTCTGTAATTTTGATTTTGAATATTTAGACACCATAATATAGAACTGTAGAAGTCTATATATTTAGGAGGCGTTGCAAAGCTCTATATTTTAGTGGATCCAGATTAGGCTCAAATAAGAAAAGGATAAATTATCTTTACAAAGAACTTTCTATTGCACTAATGCAGCAATGCCGCAGCCAGTTCAGCCACTAAACAAATGCTTCACATTATTTAAAAAAAACATCATGCTTAACATGCATTCGATATTTCGATTCCAGGACCGACAAAAACTTAGGAATCAATCACCACTTTCTCACATACCATTCCTTTATCTGCGAGTGACAATGGCAAATATAATGGAGTGGCCTCATTATTGACGATTGTTGGATCACTAGTAGTGTTATACTAGTAGTGACATACTTGTAAAGTACTTATCATTCCATTTAAATATATAAAATGCCTTAATTTTTAAATGGGGAAATTTCGTGTAAATTTTATTCCAAAAAGAACTTTGTACCGGTTTGATCTTTCGTGTAAATTTTATTCCAAAAAGAACTTTGTACCGGTCTTGTCCTCGCTCCGCCCCAGTATCTAATCAACAGTTTAACTTCCTCTCTTTAAAATGATATATGTAGAGAATCCGAATAACAGATACCAATAATAACAATATCATGTTCTTTATTTAACTTTCATGATCCGTGCCGATTGATTTTTATCTAATAGTAAACATAAAAGAGGACCTAATTTAAGAAAAACACTTTTTTCACTAGAAAACATGACCATTCGATCTACTTTCATCTTTTTTTTATCGTGTATGTTTAGCAGATAACATTAGCAGTATCTAAATGAAGAATTTGATATAAATTTGTTTGGGTTGTATTAAGTTAAACTAGAAAACATGACCAGATTTGATCTACTTTCATCTTTTTTTATCGTGTATGTTTAAGTCTGATTAGATAGATGTTTATTCTATGTATATTTCACAACGTATTATCAAAGTCTGATGTGGCTTAGTATGATCTAGTCTGATCTGGTCAGATTGAGTTTAGTGTGATCCTGTTTATATGAAACAAAATAATAAATCGACAACCTAAATGTTAATTATCACGATTAGGCTAAGATAAACAATAAATTTAAAGTAAGAACACAAGAATTTACGTGGTTCACGCAATCGGTGTGATTACGCTAGTCCACGGCGAACGAGAGAGAGATGTATTATTATTCCAGCGTCTGGTCTATTTACAGATACATTAGAGGTGTTTAAATAGGTTTAAGAAAACCTAAACAAGGATTAGAGCCGCATGCCCAAAATTAAGCCCGTAATTAAAATTCCCGTATACCCGATCGAGTACAGCCCTTGTACCCGATCGGGTATGTTCTCCAGAACTCTGCCCGAGTAGTGTTTTTACACATACTCGACCGAGTATACCTCCATACTCGATCGAGTATAAACTCCAGGGTATAACCCGAGTAACCCTTACACGCATACTCGACCGAGTAATGATCAATACTCGATCGAGTGTAGAAACCAGGGAAATACTCGACCCATCAACACCTCATACCCGATCGGGTAACCCAACATACCCGGTCGGGTATATACTCCTGCATTCCAAACAAGGCTCCATCTTCAACAATCTCCCACTTGGAGGCTTGTTCAACAGTCATCTGCCATCCAAGAACATGTATCCTCTGCAACACCCCTGATCTCTATCTCTCGTTCACACCTTCCCATCAAGTATCTGGAAGGTCAGTTGAAGCCATGCATAGCTTCAACTTCTCCGTTGTCACCACCTTGGTAAGCATGTCTGCTGGATTCTTCGTACCAAGGATCTTCTTCAAGTTTATGATACCGTCTTCAATCAACTCTCGGATAAAATGGTATCGCATCTTGATGTGTTTCGTTCTGCTGTGAAACACTGGATTCTTCGCGAGGTGAATAGCACTCTGGTTGTCACAGTGCAGTCCGCAATCCCCCTGTTCCATGCCCAACTCCGAAAGAAAGTTCTTCAACCAGATTAACTCTTTGGCCGCTTCAGCAATGGCCATATACTCTGCTTCTGTGGTCGAAAGAGCCACACTCTTTTGAAGTCTAGACATCCAACTGATCGTCGTGCCTCCAATTGTGAATATGTAACCCGTAGTGCTCTTCCTGGAATCACAACAGCCCCCCAAATCAGCATCAGCAAATCCTTCTAGAATTACTCCATTCCTCCTGAAACAAAGAGCAGTTCCAGAAGTGCCTTTCAAGTAGCGTAGCAGCCACGTGACTCCTTCCCAATGTTCCTTCCCTGGATTCGACATGAACCTGCTAACAACTCCCACTGCATGAGCAATGTCCGGCCTTGTTGACACCATTGCGTACATCAAGCTGCCAACGGCTGATGCATAAGGAACTTTAGCCATCTCATCTTTGTCTTCATTGGTCTTTGGAGACTGCTGCTTGGAGAGTTTCATCCGTCATTTTGAACTTCTCAAGGACTTTCTGAATGTACTTCTGCTGTGAAAGCTTTAAAGTACCTTCCACCTTGTCTCTGACTATGCTCATCCCAAGAATCTGTCTCGCCTCCCCTAAATCCTTCATCTCAAATTCTTCGGACAACTTCTTCTTGAGCTTGTTGATCTCCTGCATGTTTGATCCAGCCACCAACACGTCATCAACATACAAAAGAACAATAATGTATGATGACTCGAATTTCTTCAAGTAACAGCAATGGTCCATCTTGCATCTAGTGTACCCATTCCGCTGCATAAAACTATCAAACTTCAAGTACCACTGTCTAGGAGCTTGCTTCAGTCCGTATAGACTCTTCTTGAGTTTGCACACCAATCTCTCCTTGCCACTCACTGGGAAACCTACTGGTTGAGCCATGTAAATGTCTTCTTCAGGTTGCCATGAAGAAAAGCAGTCTTCACATCCAGCTGCTCCAAGTGTAAATTTTCAGCTGCAACGATACCAAGAATCAACCTGATAGTGGTCATCTTCACAACCGGGGAGAAGATTTCATTGTAGTCAACCCCCTTCTTTTTTGGAACCCCTTGACAACTAGCCTGACCTTGTATCTTTTGCTCCCATCTGCTTCATCTTTGATTCTGAAAACCCACTTGTTCTCCAAAGCTTTCTTTCCCGGTGGTAACTTGACTAAGGACCAAGTTTGGTTCTTGTCAAGTGAATCTAACTCATCTTCCATGGCCTCCTTCCACTGCATGGAATCTCTCACAGCCAACGCCTCTGAGTAAGATTCTGGCTCTCCATTCTCGGTCAGCAACAGATAATTTGCTGAAGGAGAATACCTGTTAGGAGGTCTCCTGATTCTGGTGGACTGTCTGATGTGTGGAGTAGCTGCCTCTGAACTCCCACTGTCTTCATCACTCCCACTATCTTCAGACATTCCTGTATCTCCTGAGCTCCCAGTGCTCCCTGAGCCTCCAGCCGTCTCATCACAACCGACCGGTTGTGCTATGTCATCTTCAGTCATCCCTTCAAATATCACTTGCTGTTTGCTTTCTGGTTGCTTGCCTTTGCTTGTTCCTGCTGCAAGACCATCTTTATAAAGGGCATTCTCGTTGAAGGTGACATTTCTACTTCTGATAACCTTCTTGCTTTGGTTGTCCCAGAACCTGTAGCCCATGTCATCCGACCCGTACCCAATAAAGATACACTTCTTTGCCTTTGCCTCAAGCTTATCACTATCTGCATCTCTGACTTTGACATAAGAAATACAACCAAAAACTTTCAAGTGATTAAGAGATACCTCATGACCTTTCCATTCCTCTTCTGGAATTTTGAAACCAATGGGAGATGAGGGTCCTCTGTTGAT